ATATATATATGTGTGTGTGTGTGTGTGTGTGTGTGTGTGTGACACATCATATTAGGAGATCAAATTATAATATGAAGTCAGTAAACGTGAGACAATTAGATTGACCCATGTGGCCTTCAATCATTATAGTAGGAATCGATTCCCGACGTAGGTTGAATTAGTCGAGCCCCTTGAGACTCACCTATATCGTGATTCGATATCTTGCCTTACGATAGAGAGATGTCATCGGTGACCTAAGAATATGGTATGCTTGGTCGAGTCCCTCGATGGCATATCATCAAATCAGACTCATCTTGTAACAAAGGTGATAACTTAACCGAATACCATAGTTGGTCGAGTCTCTTGAGAGGAATCGCAAAGAGTACCTTATAGAGAGAGAGAAATAGAAGCTTGAAGAAACTTCAGGTACATTCATGATCAATCTCCATTTGTTAGAGTCTTATGATAACACATAGATATTTGATACAGATAGTGCTTATCACATTTGTAAGTTATTAAAGGTTTTAGCAAAACCTAAGAGATTGACGAGAGGTGAGATGAACCTCAAGAGGGGCAATGGAGCAAAAGTTGCTATAGTGGCTATTAGTGATGTCTTCCTACATCTGCTTGGTGGAGCTATTGTTGCATTGGATGCATATTATTTTATTTTTTATATTATCAAAAATATTATTTTCATTTTGTGTTTGACAATTAATGGATATAAATTAGTTTTAAAGAATAATGGTTGTTCAATATTATTAGTTAATAAGATCATCACGAAAGAAATATTGCATAATGGTTTGTTTATGCTAGACACTATCGTACATATCATAAATGTAAGTGAGTCTAAGAGGAAACGAAATAAGGTGAACAATGTATATCTGTGACATTGTAGGCTAGGTCATATCTATGAAAGAATGATTCAAAAGTTGTTAAAAGATAGATACTTAGATTAATTCAATTATGAGTCATATGCAACTTGTGAGTCTTACCTTCATGGAAAATTGACAAATTCTCTATTTAGTGGAATCGGAGAGAGGGTCACTGAGTTGTTAGAACTATACATAGTGATGTATGCGGCTCCATATCAACTCAGGTCATTTATGGTTACTACTACTTTATTACTTTTATTAACGATTGCTCTATATATGAACACATGTACTTGATGAAGTATAACTCCGAAGTCTTTGAGAAATTTAGGGAGTATAAAAATGAATTAGAGAACCCGATTAAAAAGAGTGTCTCTTCAATCAAAGAGGAAGTAAATACATTTTTCACCTAGTTCCTCAATGACCATAAGATTCTATCCCAATTAATACCTCCTTATACATCTCAACTTAATGGTATTTTCAAAAGAAGAAATTGCACACTATTAGACATGGTGTGATCCATGATGAGTTTCACTGACCTACCCATCTCGTTCTGAGGATATATCAGAGAGACTGTAGCTTACCTTCTGAATAAAATTCAATTAAGTCGGTAGTGTCTACTCCATATGAGATATGGAAAAAGAAGAAATACGATCTTAAGGTTGTTAAGATTTGGGAGTGTCCTACCCATGTTAAGAGACACAACCCCGACAAGTTAGAATATAAGATAGAGCAATGCAAGTTCATTGTATACCCTAAGGAAATTTGTTGGTATTATTTCTATTACTCAGAGGACAAAAAAAAATCTTTGTAACCAAGAGAGCAATATTTCTTGAGGAGGAACATATTCTTTATGGAGATAGTAGGAGCGTGATAGAGTTGAGCGAGGTTGAAAAATCTAGCTCAAATACCACTCCACAGTCTGAGTCTGTTCAAGTACCGAACACATATGTTCTGACTTTACATAAATTCGATTGAATATCTCATCATCTTAAGAGATATGTGGGACATATTAGAGGATACCTGACCCGTAGAATGTTAAATTATGTTTGGGCTAACTCTACTGCTGATATATTAGAAGCAGCCATGTTCGAGTTCACCATAACAGATATCCGACAGAGTACTGTAAGGGAGTGTTGTCTGTATTCCTCATCAGTTGGCCAAGAAATTAGCTTCTTCCAGCGTCAGCCCTCCATCAATCGAACCACACAAACTTTCCAGGCAAACAACAAGAAGGGGTGGTTTAGCTTCGTTTGCCAGAATGCACAGTGCAACTTGTTTGTTCTCATAACATTCTTCAACTTGATCCACTTGGTCAAAATAAGACAGAGGGACGCCATCGTTTCCAAGGATTGTCGCTGTCTTTGAAGCCCTAATCTTCAGTTCTACCTCTCTTGTGTCAATGAAACTTTGGCAGTAAGTATCCAACCGACTTGAAAGAGATGGGAGGAACTTCACTTTCAGAGTAACCCATGTGACTCAAGCTAATCTTTACTGCTCTTTTCTTATCCTTCTGCATGAGCATGATGTCTTTTCGTTGCCTTTTTGTGAACAATCTAAGAATCTAGTACCAAGTATTGTCCGTCCGTCCCCGCTGATTCATAAGATATCTAATATACTTGTCCAGGAACCGTCACCCAAATTTCTAATTCTAGCTTTCAAGTTATGCCTTCAAATTTATCGGTACTCTTTTAGTTTCATGTTGGTCACTATGAAAAAACTAGTGGCTTGAGAGAGAGCAAATAATGGAATATGCAGAGGGTTTCATATGTATGACACAGCAGCAAGTAGTAAGTAGGCGCTTAGAAATGGTTGAAGCTACGTTTTTATTGTGACGTAATACAGTTTAATTTGTGCCAGAGGGATGTGAAATGATTCTAAGAAAGAGATGTTTGTTCCTTCACTTGAGTGAACAATCGATTATGACGTCCAAACTGCGCAAGTAGTATCTGATTTGCGCTATACTTGAAAAGATGTAGAGAGTGTCGATCCAATTAATTCGTAGGCATAGGGTGTCCAGTGATTACCGAGTATGAATTACTGGAGATAAATCTAAACGCAAAGTAGGGGCTCAGCATGCATTCATTCCGGTAACGGGTGATGCGCGCTTCCTCCAGCAGAAGAAACAAGGGTTGAGATTAATTAAAGTCCAAAGGTTGTTCCTCGTTCAATCAGAAAATGCTGGTAGAGAGCAAGCTTGCATGTTTGTCTGCGTGTGGCCATTATTCACAAACCCTTGGGACCGGTACTCAATTTGTGATGAAAGAGTTAGCGAAGGTGGCTTTTAAGAAGCCTAATTAAAGAAGTCTAGCATCGGTGCACCGATGATCATCGCAAAACAGGCAGAGAACAATTCGTGCAGACGGATGCATCGCTAAGCTGGTGGGACCTACATGGCACAAGAATTGCATGCATGTATATAGACGTAGGTACGAAAAGAATTCGTGCAAGTGCATCCTGCCACATCGATCTCACGTACATTTGTACTGTTCGATGCCCTCGCCACTCGAGGTCATCACCTACATCTAAACGTGTGACGGAAGCAGCTCCACATGTTTCTCTCGATCTCTTTTTTCGCCGTCAACCTCCAACATGGAACCGGAGCGAGAGCTACGCCACACACCACCGACCCTCCGCGGCGGTCCGTGAATATATATACCCATTATATTTCTCGCTGAGCGCAAAGTATCGCCGGGGTCATCGGGAGAGCTAGGATACACGTGGAGGGAGAACGTTGGCCGACACGTTACCAAACGGATTGCGTCGGGTCCCACCATGTTATCGCTTGTTCCCCCGCCAGCTCGGGACGGTGACGTGGCGGGACGTCCACCACGATAAGCATTTCGTTTGGTGGTGGGGTTCTGCGTCGGACCAGCCTCGTGTGTGGTGCGCGGTACTGATGAAGACACGGAACTCGTTTAGTCGACATCACGTGAGATGTTGGATCTCCCCCAAACCCCAGAAAAGGAATAAGAGATTCAATTCCATGGATATCTTTCGAGGCAATGGTTATCCAAATCCCGAGGGATTTCGTTGCAGCGTTTGTTTTTGAATAATTAATTTATCATACGATATCGTCTTATATGTACTGCGCTTAAGTCTTCCCCTTTACATCCACGATTGAAACTAAAGAAGTTACAAGCAAAGTGTTGGTGAATTTTGCATTTTCGGTGGCTAACAAAACATCTACATACACCTTTAAAGCTAGATATGATGGATGTCTATTAAAATATATCATCAAAAAATCCGCCAATTCGGAGGAGAACGGCAATTCCCCCCTTAACGTATACCACGCGTTCGATGAGCTTTGTTTTGTGTTTCTATATATCTTTCGAGTCTTTTTTTTATTTATTATAAAAGATAAATAATGAATATGAAATCTTATGATATAGTGTTAAGGTCTTTATTGATTAAACTAGTTGATATCTTTAAAATATGTCGAATATGACTTCAAGCTCATAACTTTTAAAACGCTAGTCTGATACATCATCATATTATTGATAAATGTTTAAGGTATTCCATGCATC